CCTGGGCTCCCGGGATATTTTGTTCGTCATTCGCCGGGATGGTTTTCGATCAGGGTGAATTTTTTTTTATTCGCGCGACATACTTTTTCGATTCGGTAATTGGCGGACAACAAAAGATATACCCTTAGTGGAAAAATTTCGTGTGCCATTTAAGAATTTTGTTGGTTGGTGGGTTGAAATCATTTGGTGGATGCTTATTAACGTTTTACGATATAGATATTGTTTATCGATTATCTCTTGAAGATGACACGTGTACAGAAGCAGACTAGGACGAAATTATTGAAACATATTATTGATAAGGGTGGTAAATGATATCGGTTGAAATAAATGAATGAAATAATGAATTGTATTATTGTAGGGAACACTGTAGGTGGACTATTCCGTATAATTTTTTCGTGGAAAACATGCTAACAAATTTTGTGTACTATTTATTCTTCCTACTGCAAAATCAAAAAGCATATTGTCTGTTTCTAATTATAAAACAAAATTAGGATTCAAAATGTTTGTAGAATTCAAAGTATTTAAACTGAATTCCCAATTGGAAAAGTATAAAAATAACAAGAAATCCTGTTTCAATATTCTCGAGTAAAAATACAGTGAAGATGAATACACCTTACCGCGACACGATTAGGTAAAAGAAACGTGGATCTAATAAGTCCTCAGTGATTTGTTTACTTTCCCTGTAAACAGAATTAAGTATTATTTTTGAACGAAGAAGGGTGGTTATTAGTCGTGAATCTTTTGGATCGGCATCGATGGCGATCAGAAAGGTAGCTGCGTTTTAAGCTGCACGGAGCATGATGGCAACCCCCGATCAACGGGCCAGGGGCAGGAGGAGGGCTGGCCGCGGGGGTTTCGAGGGCTCTACGGGCTGCTTTCGATTCATTGTACAATAATATGACGGAAATGTCAGTCAATTAATAAGCATACCGAACCTGACTAATTTCCGCCTTTGTTCGTTCCACGACCGGGATGGATGAATAAGTGGCCATTATGCGGCTTTTATGATTGGTCAGATCCGTATCACGACAGCCGGTTCCGCTTTCAGAAACCCGCGCCGGCACATCGAAACTTCTCTGCGGCGAACCTTTTTAACCGCGTGCACGTGCCGCGGGAATATCGTTCTCGTTTTCTTCTTCCTCCTCCTCTGCAACGTGTTTTTTTTTTTTTTATTTCGTTCCTGCCCCCCTCTTCGCGCGGGCTCAGACTTTGCCAGCATCCTTACGCTTTGTTCCTCATCTTGCGACTCACGAACGGTGCGCGAAATTTTCTCAACGGATCACAGGACGATTCTTTTTTTTTTTTTGGATAGAGGAAAAGTGGGACTTTTCGGAGAGGGGAGAGTTGAGAACATTTTAAAGGGAGGATATTGGTAGATTCAGATGATGGTCTGTGACTTGTGGGGCACGCAGTGATGTGATGTAGTGATAAGTGGTGTAATAGTTGGAATAGGTTAGTGTATTTATATTTATTTTTGAACTAGTTGTTGGTTTATTCAGTGTTCTTAGTTTTAGAAACAATGGCAAGTTCAAGACCGTTGCAACTACTATGCAACCACTGTCAGACATAACCTCAACTATAACATGTCACCTTTCAAACATACCTTCAACTTTAACATGTCTTTTTGCTGACATAACTCCCATTTTCACTCGCTTCCTTTCAAAAATAACTTCTTTTTAAAAAATTACTATTTCCAAAAGTAGTGAACTGAAGTAACTTCAATTTTAACACCTTTCCTTTAGAAATACCCTACACTTTAACTTCCCCACTTCCATAAATAACTTCCCTTTCCGATATCCCTATTTCCACAAGAAATTCCAAAAGCACCACGAGCCTCGCGAACCTCTTGAAAATAATATCCCTTACCGTACCTAATCCAGAGTCCGAAAAGGTGTCCCTGCAGTCCCAGAAGTGGCCACGTGATCGGAAGAAATCGTCCCTACTCGTAGCAAACAAAGGGAAAAAAGTGCCCTGTGTTTCACGGACTCGTGACTTCTCCCTGATCCTGTCCGTAGATTGTCATCAGTCGAAACTTATCCCCGTTCGAAAGGTCGCGCGCGTGTTCCAGTAGCACCCTCTCCTGCCAGCCAGAGCCCTCTGTGCTGGCCATAGCGTGGGAGTGGGGGGTGGAGGGGGTTCGCGCAAGGAGGAAGTAAAGAAAAAGAGACAGAAGAAAATATCCCAGGGCGGGCCCGGTTGAAAAGATCTCCGAGTTAACGGGCATTATATTTTTCGTACGCTGGGGATTATGGGCCTGTCAGAGGGCCTAATAACTGGTCCACGGTGGGCCATCTCACATCTTGATACGGGAAACGGGACCCCTCTACAATGTGCGCATTAAATACTAATCGCAATGCGCGCACGAGCACGATCCGCGCATTGTACTAGCGCGCTGGGAGCATCAAAGGCCGCCGACAGAGGGAAAAAGCGCTCCGCACAAGAGAGAACTGCTCGCGCCCGGGCTTGTGAGACTTCTTCGAAGACCAGGGAAGAGTTTCTATATACGCATCGGCAGGATTCCACCTTCCGCGACCCCTTTTGTACCGTTGCTCAGCGCCCTCGAATCGTTCGGAGATTAATTTCTTTCTTTTCTTCGTCGAGGTTCGGCGGGGGCGGAATTACTACTTACTTTTTCTCCCTGGACGAGGAGTGCCGGGCGCATTGAAAGGCTTGCGGGAGGATTCACGGAACGGGGGACCGCTGGGAGAGCTTATTGACGGATTGTTTTGTTGATTCAGTATGATGCGTGGCTGTGGGAGTCGGCTGCAAGGAGGTGGACGTTTTGTTGATCGAGGAACAAGAGCGGAGAGGACGGAGGGAGAATTTTTCGATGCAAATATGGTAAGTGGGCGAGTTGAACGTTGAAGAATATTTAAAAGATTAGTAGTAGACATGTCAGGTTGTCGCGAACTAGAGACGAAACAATAATAATGATAAAAATCTAGTTACCTCTCTTACGTTGTCTCACCTCATTCCTAGCCCTGTGACAATGTAACAGCTCCACCCAAAGTCTCCACAAAAATTCCCTCGAAAACCACCCCCTGCTCCGTGCACTTACCAAAAGCGTGCGTCAACCATTCCTCGGGCAATAAAAAACCACGAGAAGAATGGAGAAGGCAACGCGGTTGACCGAATATCAATCGCGAACACTTCATCCCAAGTGTCTCCTGGCTGGCATCCCATCCCAAGGGGTCCGTCCATTGCACCCGCTGCTCCAGCCATGAAAGGATTGCGAGATGGCGGCTGCTCGATTCTTGGAGGGCTGAGGCAATTACGCGGATTCGTTAATGACGATGACGTCGGGTTTTCGCTGACGCCGGGGTATCTTGCGCCTCCACTTATCCGTCGTCGTAAGGGAGCGAGATATAAAAGAGGGCGTGGCGGTGGCCAGGGGATGGGGTGGGAGGGGGGGGGGGAGGGTGCAGCTGCGCCACGTATCAGCCACCTATATCCTTGTCCGGCTCACCCCGGCTTATATTGCTGGGGGGATAATACCACGGGGGTGCCGGAACGGTTTCATTACACGGCTTCCCGAGGGATAATATCCTCGGATATCTCGCTGGCCGTCCCCACGGGCTTGGAATTCCGTGCCACCGACCCTCCTCACGTCACAGACGAACCCTCCGCGGCGGCCCCTTCTTCCAGAACCTCGCAACCCCTTCCCGAAACGATGGAGGAGATTGCATGGACGTTCCTGTGGCGAGGGGTCGGCTAGATGACGGAAAATGGCCGATCGAGCTCGTGCAAATTGAACGATCCCCGAGTTTCGGGCCAGCCGCTTCCACGAAAATCTGATCTTGTATCGTCTCTACGGCGCTGCTCTGGCTTCGTTTTTTTTTTGTAAGTAGTGTATGGCTCGAAGTGACGGTACTCTCGTTTCAGTTGGTTCGGACGGAGGTTTGTTTGAGACTTTGGTTGTTGGGACGATTTCAGACACGCGTAGGTCTGACATTTGATAGATTTTGAATGTACGAGGTTGAGAATCTAGGCTTTTTAAAGTAACTCGTGGTTTGGAGTTACACTACTCTTGTTTTTAGTTCGTTTGAATGGAGGTTTGTTTCAGACTTTGGCTGTTTGAACGTTCTCATGCACGGGTAGACCCAACGTTTGATTAATTCTGACTGTACAAGGTTGAGAACCTAAGTTTTTTAAAGTAATTCATGGTTTGGAGTTACACTACTCTTGTTTTGATAGGTTTGAATGGAGATGTGGTTGAGACTTTGGTTGTTGGAACGGTTTTAGGCACAGATAGCTCTAACATCTGATAGATTCTGGACTGTACCAGATTAGGTCAACAATAACACTTTGACTTTATCTCCCCTACCTTCTACAACCAGAATATTAGTTTATATCTTCATGTTAAAATAAAAAAAATGAAACAAGAAATTAAAAATGAAATCACGATAATGTAATATTAAACTGAAATGAAATCGAAATGAATATAAAAGGAATCGTAAATTAAAACGAATTGATAAATGAATAATAATAAATTATGTAGACTTAAGCATTCAAATTTTATACGACACCTCCCTCAGTTAGACTTTTACCAAGACGCCATTTTATCCTACTATCGTGTATCGCTTCTCCCAGTGGGGTATTCGACCTATTTCGTTGATTGTCGAATAATTTGAATGGATACCTTTTAGTATAAATGAATGTACGAGTGTCCCATAGATACCGATAGGCACTGATCGATATTTTTAATAGTTTCTCGTATAGGGGGTAATTTAATTGCTTGAGCTCGAGTGTTTACGATCCAAAGTACACTCTGGAATTGCATATTATTTACTGTAATAAATGGTAGCAAACAATCATTCCAATTAACACACATTTTTACAATATTTACTGTCTCATAAAACAATTAAATTCTAGTGGTCCTCGAACTATTATTTTATTAATATTTTACTATTTCTGAACAGCCTTCAGATAAACTGGATTTATCGAAGATTAATGATCTAACCTATGACGAAATTTTTAACTCGTCTTTTCGTTTGTTTCAGCTCAAGTCAAGAAGGAGTTGGAAGCTATAGGAAGCGGTGAGTCACTTAATTATTACTTATACAGGGTGTCCCAGCATCGGTGGTACGAGCGAGAAAGAGGCGATTCTATATGAAAAAACAAATCGAAAATAAGAAATAAAATTTGTTCATTTGAGGTTTCGTTTTCGATAAAATCGATTTTGAATATTAAGCGAGTACGGGTACACTTAACTATGGCCTAGATAGATGGATCTCGATACAGACTTTAAATTCACTCTAAATCCGTAGGCAGAAATGAGTAATACAGCACATCATCTTGATACTAATGATATGAGTACTACTTATAAGTGTCATGTATATAAATACTACTTATAAGTGTCATATGTATAAACATACATATCGGGATCCATCCATCGAAACCATAGTTACGTGTATGCGTACTCGCTGAATATTCAAAACTGATTTTCTCGAGAACGAAACTTCAAATGAACAAATTTTATTCTTTATTTTCGATTTGTTTTTTTTTTTATGTAGAATCACCCCCACCTCGGTTGTACCACCGAT